GCATGAGGAAGAGTGTGGCCAGCAGGTCGAGGGAGGTTCTCCTCCCCCTCTGCTCTGCCCTGGTGAGGCCACATCTGGAGAGCTGGGTCCAGTTCTGGGCTCCCCAGCTCAGGAAAGACAAGGAACTACTGGAGAGAGTCCAGCGGAGGGCAACAACGATGATGAGGAGGGGACAACAAATAAAAAACTCAATAGGGTTCCCTCACCAATGTATCACTGTAATCATAAGTAGTACAAACACGATTTTCACGTGCTATGTCCTATACCAGGCATCCCAAAACACCTCACACTGTTGATCACACACTCCTGTATGAGCTGCCTGTCCGAGCTGGCTCTCCTACCTCACCCTGTTAAAACACATTTGTTGTTTTCACAGAAAAAAACAATTTGGAAATATTTTACACATTCGTGCAACAGTTTGATAAGTGGGAGCAAAGAGATGAGGGAATTCCCTTTCTTTTCACAGACCTTCAGCATGCTTTCTATACCAATTTAAGAATTTATCTTCCCCCCCCAACAACAATTAAGTTAATTATTTACTGTACCATCTTCCAGTTTCCATGTTGTAGATCCATATTTCATCTCTAGGCAGATAGAAGTCATAAAATCCCCTAACTTGGGCATTCTGCAGAACAAGTCAAAAAAGAAAAAGCAACATTAGAAGGATGCTTGCCATACTGAATTACAGACTCCTGGGAATGTTTACACTCCCTCAGAGATCTAATCACAGAACAGGAAACAGCAGGAACAGTGCCTGCCGCACTCCTGCACCTCTCACCTGCACAGCAGGCCTCGGAGAGCAGGTATTAGCCTATTTTAGCTTCTGCTGGGGACCAGACAAGCTCCCAGCAGAGCCAGTGACTGAGGTAAATGGAAGTTAAACCTCCTTTGCATAGCCCAAGCAGGCTAACTAGGGTGCACAAATGACCAAAAATTTCCTTTTTAATTCCCCCACCCCCTGCATGACACCACTAGAACACCACACCAAAGCCTTGTCTTGAGCTACCAATTTATTTGCCGAGTTCATTGACAATTCGTCTTCATTCCCGTCAAAATCATAAAATGACTTGGTTCTGCTTGCAGTACACGCACACCCCAGTGTGACAAATAACCAACTGGTGCCATTGACATGCAATCTATAGTTGTGCTGATAATGCTGTAAATAAAAGCAGTATTTTGCCTGGAGTGCATTTCAAAACAGAATTTCCTTCTCTTCCAACAGAGAGACATGTGAGTTGACAAAGGCAAACAACACCCTGCATCCCACAGAAGTTATCTGTTTGCCAAGACCGCATTCAACACTCGCAATTTATTTCAATATTTCAAAACTCTTAAATGGCATATTCTACTTGGTTAATCGCAGCTTTTCTTTTCCAGGGGAGGGATAATTTTACAGAGTCACTCCCAAACTAATGGGACGTAATTACCAGCACCATGGGTGGCAGAAGGCTTACTTAACAAGGAGAACAGCGTACCTTATAGCCTCCCCAGACATACATGCAGCGTCCATCAGTGACTGCCACGTGCCCGCTGCGCTCAGCAGGGCTATCGTTCTCCAGCTGCTCAAAGCTGTCCTCGGCTGGAGCCGGGAGCTCTTCATCTGCCTGCAGCTCTTCGTTATCATCGGCCATTTCGATACAGTGCTACGTGCACAGAATAACACATAGTATGGGGCTTTGAAAACCATCAGGGGAAACCACCAGGGGAAAAAAACCAGAGAAACTACACCCTTGTTTCTTTCATAATGATGTTTCAGTGGAAGAAGTTATCCCATTGGTCAAGAAAGTTTCAGATGGGGATTCCTCAGTTGTGTGTAACTTATAATGGTTTCAGTTGCCAATTTCAGCTATCTATCTGTTCTTTAAAAACACATCTATAAATACATTAAGTGATGACAAAAAACAAAACAACCCACAGAGGAATAGATTTGAAAGCTTTGCCTAAAATACGCTTTTCTCTTTTCAGCCAAAGTCCCTTTGGGCCACCTAAGCCAAGTCTCCCACACGCAAACCTTCCCACAGCTGTTAAATGCAGGACATATTATCTATGCTAAAAAAAACCCCCAAAACACAAAACAAAGCCCCCTGCTCCAAATCGTGCTAGTGCGCAGAAGGCCAAAACCCAGAGCGTCCTGGAAAGACAACAGCTATGCGCACCCAGCCCACGGCTCCCGAGTACCGTGCGGCTGAGGGGTCACAGCAGCCTCCACGCCAGGGCTCTGGTACGCGAGGAGCCCCAGGGCCATGCTGTCACTGGTAATTCAAAGCCCCAACTGTGGGAGGAATCAAGCCAGGAGGAGATGCTGAAGTCAGCCCTGCCAGGTCATCCTGGAAGCCGCTGGCACGCTCTGCCTCAGCCTGTAATGGAGCAGGGGGACCCCTGAAAAGCCAAAGTCACCTTCCAATTCCAAGCCTTTCCCACGCCTCTGCCTGCTTTTAGGTTTCCTACAGCTATGAGTTGAAACCATCACCACAGAAGGATTTTCAGACATAGATCAAGAGATCAGGGAAGTTGGACAGTCCAAGCAACGGTTCTGTGCAACCAGGCAAACCGAGAGAATTGAAAAGGACCTTAATGAGACTATCAAACCCTGCACTCACACAAAATCTGCCACACCTACACCACTCCTGACAGATTTTCATTTAATTTGAATTGCTCCAATGATGGAGACACTACACCACCTTCGGTAGTTTATTTCTGAGGTTTAATTATGCTTTAAATTAGAAAGCCTTACCCACACGTCAATGAAATCTGTCTGCTTCAAGTTAACCAGATTTTCACTGACCTCTCCCCAGTGATGAGCATTCTTTAATTACTTTTTTTTCCAACAGCCTAAGACACACTGGACAACTGTCCCCCTTTAGTCATTTTTCAGTCCCGTACGGAAACACTTCTCACAAGACACTGCAATTCCCAAGCTCTCTACGGCTCTACCCTGGCTGTCCACATTTCTCACGATACCTCGACTGGCCAGACGTGGTCTCCTCCCATGCTGAGGCAGCCCCGATAGATGTTACCTGTCGGGACATACCCATAACACAGGACCCAACCTGAGCACCAGCCGCACGGTGCTGAGCAATGCGCCATCACCACACTTACCAGAGCCGTTAGCAACCCCTCCGGTCCTTCCCGCCTTCTGTCAAGGTTTGATCCCCACACACACACACACACATCGCGCAGCCCCCTC